ATTCTCAGTTGTTTCATGTATAAAAGAATTTTCTTGAGGTGTTGGATGCCTACCCTCTTTCATAACTTGGTGAAGGGCAGTGTTTTAAGGTGTTGGTTTATTATTTTTCAGAAATATATGAGCAGACCCAATTGTATAGATACTTCAAAACACAGGAACAGGTACCGTTGAAAATAAACTTGTAAGAAAAGTGAAAAGAGCATGAGGAGATGGAGATAAAGACTAATAGAATAACAAATGATATTTTATTTTCCAAAGAAGATTTTTTTAGGTATTTCCTTTGAAATGAAAATTATACCAAATGAACTAGTATGTACACAGTAACAGTGTTTGGAAGAATGTGCTAAATGAATTAAGAATTTAAGGAAGTCACACACAGGGAGCCGTTTTTCACCTTTTGACTGAACAAGATTACAATAGAGAACATCTTTTGCATATCCATTATCTATCATTCTTTATAATCTTACAAGAAATTGTAGTTCGAAAATGCTTCTAGTTGATATAATACTCTTTAGTTTTAAAAAGTTATTTTATAAGAAGACTCATGATACTTATTTTTTGTCCTGTGCAAATTAAAAATGAGAAAACTTAAAAAATATATCAATACCCAATATATTAATTTAAAAAAAAAAGATGACTGACTCTGAGAATTGAGTAATACATTTATGGCAAACCTAAAAATCTGTGGAAGATAGAGAAAATAAAAATAATACCAAGTTGCTGTTGATTAAGAGACACAAGTTCTTGGATTGTACATTAATGGCATGAGAAGTTAGAGGTAGAAATTAAGCAAAGAATCACTGAAATAGGGAAGAACTAAAGTTCTATTGAACAGAAAGAAGAGTTGCAGAATGAAAGGACACCAATTTGAATATGTAGTGTGGCTAGTGGAAAACAGTGTTGAGACATAGATACAAACACCCTGAGCCAGAAGAAGATATGAGTGGTCAAAATGAAGATGCTGATGACAAAATACTGCCACTAAAATATCCACATATGATCAAATTAGATTTAATTAGTTCATCTTTCCTTGTTGCAAAGCAAAATCACTTGATTATCACAAGAATTTGATCCCGTGTGAATTACATTGTAGTTTACAACAAATTAAAATTTTAAATTTTATGACACTGAACTGGGTTCTACTATTTTTTCTTTCCTCATAATAATTAACAAATGTATGAACTCTTTGAACAATTATTTTAAAAAATTTTGTATTAATTTTTGTGACAAGATTATTTGAAGAAACACTTCACATCACCTATGAAAAATACTTTTTTTGTCTTTGTATTTTTGTGTGATCGGTCACTATTTCTGCATTCTCATTTTATTTTGAGATAATTAGAAATGGATGTAGAACATACAAGTTTCTCGTTCAGCAATCTTCAAGCAACCTACTAACTGCCGAGTGATTGCTGAGGTTCTAATTATGCAATCTTGTTTCCCTAGAACGTGTGCTACACAGGCCCATCCTTACTGAGCCACCCAGGAACAAGACTGCGGTGGTGGGAGAAAATGTTACTTTCTCATGCAGTGTCCTGTCTGATCTGCACCCACATCTGGATTGGTTCAAGGGATATCACTCAACACTTCCTAACCAAAGTTACTCGGTGGAGGTATATCACATGGAATAGTGGATTTTTTTAATGCAAAAAAGCATGTTCTACATTGCATGTGTTTTTAATATCCTGGAATTATTCTGCAGATTGGAAAACCTCAATGTTGTAAGCTGTGATTTCCATTTGCTGTTATGTTATCTGTGAATTTCTCTTTATGTAGTAAAAATTAAAACACTTTTAATTAATTAATTAGTATCTAAACATATTTCTGAGCTTTTTGAATAAATAGAGAGATTAAAACAAATTTTCACTTTTGAGATTTTTTTTTAATAATAGAAACTTCCACTTTTGAAGTACTTCACAGGTGAAACCCAGTTCCCAAATAATACTTATGTGAAGTCTACATGGGAAAATATCAATATCTTTTGGTATCATTACTTTGATACAAATATTAATATTGATAATACTTAATGTATTTTCAAAAATTCTTTGTGTTTTCAAATTTTTTAAACTAAATGAAATGCCTACTTCTAATTTAAATTCTGTTAGAAGAAATTGAAAATATTTGAAATTTTTATTGAATTTTTAAATAATTACTCATTATTCTTAAAATCAAATTTTTGATTAGGCATTTTCTGCATTCTGTTTCCGAGATTCATTAGAGTAATTGTAATTGGTATTGGTACAGATTGAGCATCAGTACTTTCATTGATTTTTCAAGCTCACAATGATAAGGTTTAGTTTGTGGACTCCTTGAAGCATATTATGGATATTTCAGGCCTTTCAATATCAATAAAAGCATGTTTGCATGCATGATTAATGTTATAATATCTTCTATCTTTGCTTGAGATTTTTTCAATACTTGCAAGTTTTGTGTGAAGTTGACATGCATCCATTCATTAGCACGGGATAGCAGTATTTTCTAGTTGTTTGCCTGATATAATTTCAACTCAATGCATGTGCCTTTGTAACGCCTGTTAATTGTTGGGGTTTTCTTTTGAGTATTTCAGGGTAGATTACTGCTTTTAATTTTCTTTTAAGTTTGTATGGATGAATATTGAGTTTGAGTGAATTTGTATGTGTGAAATGAGTATAAATAATCAATATATTTTGTTAATGTGTTGTTGATTTCAATTATAGAATTTTTTTGCATGTTATATTGTAAATCCTGATATTATTCAGATATACCAGTTTTGTTATAGAGATAAGACACCAGTGTTTTGCAACTGTGGGTGGGAACAAGAGCTGGAAGGGCTACATTGTTCCAAAAAATATCCAAGAAATTTTTTTTTAATTAAAAGTTTATTTTTGAAATTGTGATTATGCAAAAATGCTATAAAATAAATAACACTAATTGCTATAAAAATAAATGTGTAGTAGTATTTTCATGCAATGTTATGGAATAAAAATCAACACATCTGAACTAAGATTTTCATGAAAAATATCTGAAATATCTGATCTTTGTTTATAATATTTTGATATGAGGAAAATAGATTTGCTCTTCCAAATTGTGCCTACAAATACCACTTTTGTCTAAACCTTCAGAGGACAATAACCAGTGCTTAGTATCTTAGTTAGGGTGTGTTATTCTAACTAAACAGTGTTTATTTTGCAGTATATATTGTATTCCACTGTAATTTAATTTAAGAAGTAATATATACATACAATTAATTTTATTGGTATCTTTCAAATTATATTACTATAGTGGTGAATCACCATACATATTTTTTTTAGCATTTAAAATTCTACATTGCATCAGAATTATTATTTATTTAAATATATACCATATAGAGTTATTTGTCTTATAAAGAATTTAAGATATAAATCATTAATCGAAAATACTTGAATTTAACATAATCAAAAAATTGATGTTTTGCAATGTCATGGGAAATGCATGGAGAAGGGGCACAAACGACCAAAGCTCTGTCTCTGGTTGAATTGTTTCCTTCATCATAATTCACTTTATTTCTTTATTTCCTGGTGCAGCAAAAAGTGCAGGTATTATTTCGATTACAATGTTACATTATTTAACTGTATACCTGTTACTGTTTAATTTAAACCAAACCTCCCTAAAGAGAAACTTCATTTGCATTTTATAATTAATCACTTTGTAATTAGTCTTTTAATTTGAATTAAATTTCTAAGGAAAGAGGAATGTGAAATAAAAATAAATGTTAAAATATATTCCCTGAAATTTACTACCATGTTCGTATTCAAATATGTCTTCTTTAGTTTGTATAACTTTATATTCGTTCTTCAAAATTTACACAAAGAAGAATAAAAATAAGGGGATCAAAGATCATAGAAGAACTAATGAAAGAAAATGAGTTTCATGTTATTTTAACATTGAACTATTATATTTGCAGTTTGATGAATGAATTCGCAAAATAATATGAATTAATCAGCTCTGATGATAGTCACGATTTCAGCAGTGATTTTGCAGGCAACTTTTAATTTGGAGAGCCTAATTCAGTGTAGCAAGTGGAATGTCCAAAAGAAGAATTTTTAGACTCAATGAGAATTAAATTAGTAAATGTAGTCATAAAATGTTATCATTTGTTGGTGTTTTTCCTATATTTTCAAGCTACTATAAATAAAATAAAATTTTAAAAAACCTTTGAAAAGCTCTGCCAGTCCAAGCATGTAATAAAAATTAAATTATCTTCAAATTATTTTGAGTATATTTTAATGAAGTTCAGTGTAGTGCTGAGTGTTCCACTGTTCAGTGCCTGCTTGTGAAATCACTATTTATGACTTAAAGATAAATTAAATTAAATTTTAAAAAATCTAAGCATGAATTTTTCATTTACATATATTGAAGTCAAATCCTGGGTTTGATGTTATGTCATTATATAATCAATGTCATCACCAATGACATTACTATTTTATCTTGGGAATGATACCTTAAGCAAATGGGAATATGATGTCTGATAATATGCATGCGTAGTGTGCAAGTAAATTTATTACTATAGTTGTTATTATTGTATGTAATAGATCATAATTATAAACTCACAATAAACTAGGCTTTACAGCCTGTTTCTGTTGGTTTCTTACAGTATTCTTGGTAGATTATTAGTCTCTTGAAATAGATTAAATGATAAATTAGAATTGTTGTTGTTGCAATTCCTTATAATTTTACTATTCAAAGGGATTGTAAACAGAAATCATTTATTATTGTATGATATTATTCAAAGAAAATTAAAATAATTTATATTGAATACCCATTGATCTCAGAATGAATTTATAAATTAAATAATAATTTTACTGTTCCAGTTACTTTTATATATTTTTTGTAATGAGTTGCCCAATAGATATTCCTCTCCCTTTCTCTAACACTTTTTGGTTACATTTTCAGTCTGGTGTTGACAATCCTACACCTGAAATACTTCGTTTACACAATGTTACGTATGAAGATGAAGGATGGTACACATGTATTGCAGCAAATAGCCTTGGCACAACATATGCTGCTGCTTATTTGCATATAGTTGATGGTAAGTTTTGATTTGATTTATCTGTGTCAAAAAACAATACAACCTGTGTGTGAATTACGGGAGAGAAGTATAATCTGCATTTTCTTGGGCTTCAGAATTTCTTTGTAAATATTACTTTTCTTTTTGATTTTCAGTATAGTCTCTAATTGTAAGGAAACAGTTATGCAGCAGAAAGCATTTTATTTGGCACTTTGTGTCTTAATTTATTGTTTAATATCATCTGGCAATGTGTTGTAATGTACAAGTATTACGTGTCATAAGCTATTGATAGTAATGAATATGAATGATGTTTATGATTCTTACAACATGTGTTGAATTGCATATAGCTGCATTGCTTGAAAATGTGTTCTCACCAGTTTTGACAAAATCTATTGATTTGTAAATAAATAGGCAAGGCAATGATAAGATTCAAAGCTCAAAGGAGACAGGCTCGCAGGAATCATATAGATAGCATTCACTTATTATTCACACAATTTTGTCTGCAATCTGGAAGTCTGGGTACTACAGAATGTATTTCTTTAGAATAATTATGCCATATTTTGCCATATATTAGGCAGGAATATATATTTGCAAAATATATGGTAGGAGCTGCATGGCGAGTGATTGAATGTGAAAGAATTCTCAATGCATAGTATAATTAAGTTAATTTTGTTCTATTGAGCTCTTATTATTATAATAATTATTATTATAATTATATTAAATATAATTATAATTATTATTATTGTTATTATTATAATAATTATAATTATAATTTAGTGCTCAATTCATTTTTGTGGATATTCCATGTGAGGTTTGACTCAACTTAGATCTAGAAATTTTGTTACCTTAAAATGAACCAATTGCATGTTGTTGTTTTTCAATGGCACATTACGATTCCCTATTTGAAATGCAGTTGATTCCGATAGCTGAGATCACTAAGACAGTAGTGTCGTGGTGATCATGGATTGAAGGATTGTGGGTTCGAATGCCGCCTTGGGCATGGATGCATTTGTGATTGTCCCTTCTCCTTTCATCATCATCCTATCACTTCATAAAAGAAAATTTAATAATTCCATGCATGAGCAGGAGGCCCTTGCTCTTAATGGGATGTGCAGTTGGCTTAAAAAAATTAAATGCAAAACTGCAATAAAACTGTTTTCCCATCATTTACTGTTAATTTTTTATTATAAAACCAACTTGAAACATTTGAAATTGTGCTTTCTCATGAAGAATATTTGTGTCATCAGCAAAGAGAAATGCTCTTCCATTTCTAATAAATGAGGGCATTTCATTTACATGTAAAAAAAAGATGATAGAGTCTAAGATTAAACACTTCAAAACCCCATGCTCAATTTGTAAAGAATTAGAGAAATGAGTAATTCATTACAGTACAGTATTTCTACTCTGCAGTTGATGTTTAAGATATATAGATATCCAACCTAAGGCAATAGCATGAATGCAATATGAAGGGAAGTTTGAAAACAAAATGTTATGGTCAGTGATGTCAAAAGCTTTTAAAAGGTCTAAAAATATTCCAAAATTTACTTAATTTTGATCCATTGATGAGGCAATACCTTTAAGAGAAGAAAAAAGTGTCTCATTTCCATAGATTTTGATTTTCTTAATCCATATTGTCTGTAAACACTTCATTTTTTCTGAGAAAACATTCTTTTTGTAGAAAAGTAGAAATGTAGAATTTCTCTACATTTTTGGAAAATATTGTCAAAAACAAAATTGGCCAATAATTTTGAATTTAATTTTTGTTGACATATTTAAAAAGCAGCTTACGTTTTGCCTTTTTAAAATACATGGAAATAGTCCTGTAAATAAGTAAGTATTGAAAATGTTAGTTAACAGGTTTACAAGTTAAAGGTAGGTGCACAAATTTTTAATAAACAAACTGTAAATTCATCTAAACCAGACAAATATTTATTTTGAGTTCAATGACTAGGATTTCACTGGAAGTAGTTTCAGAAAGAAACATCATATTGAAAATTTGTTGGGAAATGTTTGACATAGAGTTTTGTGGCGTAGTTCCTTCATGAATAATCACAATTCTTGAAAAATGTTGGTTGAAGAGACTACCAACTTTTTTGGTACCGTATTGCTCATATCTCTGTCATTATCTTCTTAAACAACTTTCTCTACAAAGTTTCAAGATGATTTGGTTGTATTTTTAAATAATATTTCACACTTCTTGAGTATTTATTAGCATTTAAAATATCCAAATCATATTTCACTATTTTTACCTCTGCTATTGATTTTCTTAAAATGCAATTGTATTTTCAAAAGTTGGAAACTAGGTGATAGGTTATGATGTTTATAAATAAAGATTACATTTGTTTTTACATGAAACCTAAAGCTCTAAAACCGTGTGGTATACACATGTTGCTTTTCCATGAAATGTTTCATTTTTATTTTTTAAGAGTACAAGTTAAGATGAAATGAAAGCTTTGAAAAAAATAAATTATATTTGTGATTTATGTTCACAACATTATAACTCACTGCAGCAAGTAGTCTATAAATAATTATATTTTACCTTTAATAGAGAATCTACACGTGTGTTTATTATTTAATTTGTCAGTGTTCAAGTTGTTTCTGGAATTTTAACAATTTTGCGCATCATGTAACTGTATCTAACATATATATCATTCATTATTATTTCTTCTGGATGTGATTTTGTTAATTATGATTTAATCTACTGCTTTTTCTTTTTAATATCCTTAGCTGTGTATTTACTGCAATATCTAAATTAAGAGAATGAATTAGTAAATTCAGAAACAGTTCTTTTTTATGAGATTGATCCCGAAAATCAATGTTGAAATCTCCACATACAGCAATTTAATAAAAGAAAGTTATTACTAAAGTGATTTGTTCAAAGTTATCTCTAGATTTTCTAAGAAAGAAAAGTAATCTGTAGCTAACTTTGTAGGTCTGTAGATGCAGAGTAGACAATTTTGAACATAGTACGATACAAGACTGTTATTTAGAAAACCTTTTCAATTGAATGTAGATTGAATTTTGACAAGAAGGTTGAATCAATATTGCTTCTAATGTAAATACATGAACCTCCATATGCAGGACCCTTATTTGAGTCCTTCACTCTACAATAGGGTTCTGCAACATGAAATCTCAGAACTAGGAGAGTTTTTAGTTTATTTTGAGGTAATGTTCTATTAAACAAAAAATGTAGTGAGGCAGTTGAGGTGACAATGGAAAGGAATGAGGGAGAGGTAGTAAAGGTTGTCTAGGCTAACCGAGACAAACCGCGTCACTGACATGGGGCTAACCGTTTTGGCCAGCGTATTGTGGCCTTCTTCAGAGGGTACTGCTGAAGAAGGCCACAATATGCTGGCCGAAACATTAGCCGCCATGTCAGTGACGCGGCTTGTCCCGGATAGCCTAGACAACACAAACTCCAGCCGCGGAAGCCTATGCAACCGAGGTAGTAAAGGGATTAAGTTCAGGAGATACGATAAGTGGGTAGGTGGTGGTCTGGAGGATGGAAGAGAACTAGATTTGGGTGGGGTTTGGTCTTGTAGGACACTGCTGAGGATGTGGAAGGATGTGATTTATAAGCTCGCTACTGCATACATGTTTTCTGGCTAGGTTCAGGTGATGACCATGCCAGAAGAAGTGCTTTTCTGAGAGAAAGTTTGGCCCAAATAGTTTGTGTCTCACAGATGTAGTTTCAATTGGTTGTTTGCATACTTAATTTCTGTGTATTGTGGGTTTGTTGTACCGGAAGGGCAGATGGGCCATGATGTTTGGATTTTGCACAGCATATTATAGTTTGTCAACATATTAGCCAGGTGTAAAATTACCAGCCGAATTAGTGTCTTCTGGTCCTCCTATGACGATGACTAGGTCATGTTTTGTGAGAGTTTTTGTGTGGGTGTCCAACCCACTGACCACATTGGCAAACATTTCGTTAGGTTTATATACACCAGTGAAGGAAGTTGGAGGGGAGTTTCTCACTGAGATTGGAGGAGATTTGTCACCTATGATTATTCAAATGTGCATTCATTATTAAAATGTTCTAAATGAATATTATAAATAAAAAATGTTTGAAACAAAAATGAAGAATTTTTTCATGTTTTTAAAAAAAATATCCCCCTCCAATTTTTTAACTTTTTGTAATAATTATTTCTTAACTTATCTTAAAGTCAGAATTTTTTTAAGTTAAGTTTACCAGAGTTATATCTTTATCTTACTTATTATCTTTAACAAGAAATTGTTTGAGCAATGACATTGTGTTTCAAAGAAATATAAGATAATTTGTTTTCTTTGTTTTCAGAATTGGATGATACAAACCCCATTCCTGTGAAACAACAATCTCCTATGGTTCAAATATTGGCTGCGACACTTTGTGTAGTGTTAGTAGGTGGTGCTATCATCCTCTTGATCATTTTCCATTGCTTGCGACAGTAAGTTGCTGACTTTTTTTTATTCATAGATTTTGTTTTGATTTTGAATTTTAGTTCTTGATAAATTTATAACTTTTTAGAACATTATAAAATAACTAATTATTAAACGTTTATTAAAAGTAATTTTATATGAAAAATAGCAAACTTCTTACTGGAAGTTATCATTTTAATAAATAATATTTACTGAAAATGAAAATTGTTTGCAGGGAAAAACTTAAAAAATTGCAGGCTATTGAAACAGCTCGAGCAGCAGTGGTAACGCAATGGACCAAAAAAGTGATAGTAGAAAAGCAAGCTCTCTCCACTCAGAACAACACAGAACCTTTGGTATGCATTTATTGAAATGTGTCTCTTTGAATTGTTTTTATGTAATTTTTATTTACAGGTTTTAATATATCAAGGGGATATGGAAGCATTCAAATATGAAAAATCAAATATTGGATTTTGCATATTTACATTGCCTGTTTTAGTCTACATATGTTGGTGAAAGTGAAATGAAATGAAGTACACACACACGCACACGTGCATGTGCGCGCGCACACACACACACACACAAACAAACAAGCATACAAACAAAATTAAATTATATAGAGAAATATAACAATGGATCAACCAACAAAATGCATTATTAGTAGTAGAGATCTAAAGTCAATACCTCCTCAAAATATAATCATGTTTTTATTTAATTGTTTGCGTTATTTATAGTATATTTCTGTTTACACAACGGTCTTAGAAATTTTTTCTTCATTATAATTTTTCTTCATTAAAACTTTGAACTTTAAAAAAAAATTCCTTACTGAAAAACAATGTATTTTATTACTTTCAGTCATACCTTTATCAAACTAATGATTGCCTTGAAGCATAGTAAGATTTAATTATTAAAATAAAAGTAATGATGACATAAGAATAAAAGTACTCTAGCTTCTTCCAGCAATCTGTTAACTAAGCAACAAATCAAATAATTTTGAATAAATCTGTTTCATAATTTTTATTATAAATTGAATGAGTAAATTTATAAAGAAAATGGAAAATTGTAAGTACAGTGGAATCTTGATATCTTGAATTTAAAGGGGTGATAAATTTTAATTGAGTATGGTACTTTGACTTTGAGGTTTATATTACTGGGAGGATGGACAAAAAAGTTAAAGAAGTTTCACAGATGTAATTAATATGTGCAGAGTTGCTGTATTAATCATGTGTTGTATGTAAAAAGAATTATAAATTCAGGAAAAATAAAGTTACTACTGAAAGGTTTTAAAGGGATTATAGTACTTGCACTTTGCAATAAATTAAATTTTGTAAATCAGGTAATTTAAAGAAACAAAATGTGACATAAATAACATTTAACATATCATAAATACTTGAAGAAACATTCTATGAATAAATTAAAGAAACAAAATTATACACATTTTTCATATAGGATTGGACAAGAAGAAATATAGTTACAAAGGTGAGAAGGCTTAGAGCGACTTATAGATCCAAGTTCCTCACCTGAGTAAATAGATGCACAGGCAGTAATTAAGAAATTCAGTACAGCTGTTCATGAGTTTTAACATAATTTACAGGGAAACCATACTACTTGCTAGTTTCCTCACAAATATCTTTCAGCAGCTCTTCTGCATTTTGATTTTAAATCAAATGAAAGAGTGCTATTTCATTTCTGTGCCATTAATGGAAATACAAAAAAAAGTATGTCAAGATTATTCCATTGTAATATTTGTTGAGAGGAACATCAACACAGTTGGGTAAAGTAGTGATGGGGAATGAAAAATTCAAGAAATTCAAATTATTTAAGGTTCCACTGTATCATAAAAGGAGTTAATATCCTTTAATGTAAAGTAAATGCTAATAAATTTATTCAATTTTAGCAAATGCCTATCGTTAAAATAGAGAAACAGAAGTCTCATCAAACTGCAAGTAACTCTTCTGGATCAGACTTCATGATATCAGAGTATGAATTGCCTCTGGACTCTGAGTGGGAGTTTCCAAGGGACCGTCTTGCTCTTGGGAAAACTCTAGGAGAGGGAGCTTTTGGGAAAGTTGTGAAAGCAGAAGCTCAAGGAATTGTGAAAGATGGCATAAGCACTGTGGTGGCAGTAAAAATGCTAAAAGGTAAGATCTTCCAAATTAAATCATTAGTTGATCAGTGAGAAATTGTAGATTTAAAGTCACAAACTTACTTTTTTAAGCCAGTGCACTCAATTTTGAAGTAAAAAAAAAATACCTACGAAAATATTTATTAAAACTAGTATAAAAAAAAAGATCATTGGAGACTGAAAATTCTTAATGTCAAATTACAAGTTAATTTTCAGAAGGAAATGATGTAAGAGTATAGTTAAAAAATTCTTGTAGGTCAGAGTATGAAAAATTATATTTTGATCCCCAAGTATTATTTTCCAGAGGGGCATACAGATGCTGAGATGATGGATCTTGTATCTGAAATGGAAATGATGAAAATGATAGGAAAGAATATCAACATTATAAACTTACTGGGTTGTTGCACACAAGATGGGCCATTGTATGTTGTGGTGGAATTTGCCCCGCATGGTAATCTGCGAGACTTCCTTCGTCAGCACCGCCCCTCTTCTGGCTATGAACCTGCTATTGGCACTGACCTGAAGGAGAAGAAAACTCTGACACAAAAAGATCTTGTGTCATTTGCTTTCCAAGTTGCAAGAGGAATGGAATATCTTGCTTCTCGAAGAGTAAGCAAATTATTAATATTAATATTATTATTAATATTATTATTATTGTTATTGTTATTATTATTTATTATGTTGTTGTTATTATTATTATTATTATTATTATTATTATTATTATTATTATTATTATTATTATTATTATTATTACTCACAAAAACATACAATCTGAGCCATCTATAAATATGACAATGTAATCATGTGATATGATTATCATATAATGATCAATTTTATAATTTTTTTAATATTACTTTTAGTGACAACCCTTATCCATTATGTAGTGGTACTTAAGTGAATGATTTTTAAAATTATTTCTTTGTAATGAGCAAGACAATTAAAATTGATGAATGGTGGGCAAAAAGAATTATGGAGATTTTATAATATTTTATTGAGTAATATTTTTGCACACTTTTTCAGTGCATTCATCGTGATTTGGCTGCTCGAAATGTCCTAGTTAGTGATGAATATGTTTTGAAGATTGCTGACTTTGGTCTAGCTCGTGATATTCATTGCCATGACTATTACCGCAAGACAACTGATGGGCGCTTACCTGTGAAATGGATGGCTCCTGAAGCACTTTTTCATAGACTGTATACAACACAGTCAGATGTGTGGTCCTATGGTGTTTTGTTATGGGAGATAATGACACTTGGAGGAACTCCCTATCCTAGTGTGCCAAGTGTTGAAAAGCTCTTCCAGCTCTTAAGATCAGGTCATCGCATGGAAAAGCCCCCATGCTGTTCACTTGAAATGTGAGTCAAAAAGTTTCTTAATATTTTTATGACTAGATTCCTTTCAGAAAATGGATTGAAAATTTTTGACTGAGTATAAAAAAGGAAATAGAAATTTATTTATGATAGCAAAAGACTTTTGTAACTTAATGTAGCAAGAAAATCAAATGAAAAATTATCAAGAAATTGTTAAAATTTTCAATTGTGATGTTACATTTTTTATTTTTGTTAGAACATAAAATGCCCAATATTAATTTATTTCTCAATGAAAATGTAGCTACCACTTGCTTATCTAATTGTTTTATCATAGATACATGTTAATGCGAGAGTGCTGGAGCTATCATCCTAATGAAAGACCTGTCTTCAGCGAACTAGTGGAAGATCTTGACCGCATATTGACATTCACTGCAAATGAGGTGAGATTTTTCATCTGTAATTTATTTATATTTGATAGGCAGGAAGTCCAAAATATAATTATTTCACAGGCCATAATAAATAGGTGAAATATTTATATTTTAGCTACAAGCCTATTAATAAATTTGCTGATCTCCAATTAAGAACTAAGAATAATTGGTTGCAATATCTAACTAGAAATGTAATCAATGTTTTTACAATCTGTATGATTATGCCTTGTAGGAGTATCTGGATCTTGGTTTACCTCAGTTGGACACACCGCCATCCAGCCAAGAAGCAAGTGAAGATGAAGCTTTTCCTTGCTTACTGTAACTCAGTTGCTTTGTTTAAGCCAAATTGCAAAAAAAAAATGCATTTTAAAGAAGATTTTCAGTGCATTAACATTTGACAGTCAAGCTGTTTCGAAGATTTAATATTAGCAAGTGCAGTTAAAATTTGCTACAAGATATTACAAGATATTAGATAATTATTAAATGCATTACAAAAATGCATTATTGTCTACATAATATGAAGTAGCAAAAATTGACATTTTTATCAATTAAATAATGTATTGTGTAATTACATTGCCTCTGGCATTGTGGGAAGGATTGAAGTTCCTGTCGACACTGCTGCTCAAGAAAGATTTCAGTGGTTAAAGATAAAACTAAGTGTACGACCCTTTGTCCCGTCCGAACAATGTGAGACCTAGTGTGGTTGGTTTGATTCATCCAGGCGTTGTGGCTTGTTAAAGAGGTGCTTTGCGCAGTGCAAATTTGCTATTCGCCATCTTGATTGTGCTGCCAACCTATATAAAGAGAACAACATTTTGTAAAAATATTAAGCTTTGTTCTCTTACTGACATTTTTTTGTACATTGTGTTGTGAACGTGAATTGTAAATACTTGTTGCATGTGAAATGTTTTCTTTTGAAATGTGAAGCAATGATATGTATTGTGGGACAGCTCAGTTATTCAAAAGATTTCTTATTGCCTGCAGTACGTGCTCACAAATTTTGTAAGTGAAAACTCAGAAATGGGGCATCTAATTAATTAACCTGTTGGGGATTATCTCTTAACTATACAAATTTTTCCTTTGTAATTTTCTTTCAAGTGTCATTCATCTTAAATTATTGATGATTCACTATAATGAGATTCATTATAGTTATTAAATTCTTTGTAACTTAAACAAATCTATAATTTTTCTTCACAAACACACGGAATTCTTTGATTTCAATAGTTCACAGGGCCCCTTAGATGCATTGGGTTCAGTTGGAATTGGTTGGTCCAATCTTTGAATGGAGCACTCTTCTTTTCATTGTTTAGTGTCTCTGAAAGTTGAAATGCAGGATTGATTCAAGAGAGAGGACTAGTCATGTCAGAGCAGGGTTGTATTTGATGGCTCTCTATTGATAGTATTTCTGGTCAGCAGGTGGAATTCCACCTTAAGTATTCTTTCTCATGCTTGAGAAGTATCTAGTGCCTAAGATGTATGAATGAACATTTTCAAGATATGTTGAAAGTATGCATGTATATTTAAATCTATTCTTATAAAAGTACAAAGTGTTATTTTACTAAAGAGTAAGATTATCTTTAAAAGTCAATTAATTGATACCGTGTTACTTCAAGCATTTATAAAAGTTTTCTTCTCTACATATTTTCACAGAATTAAATGGTGGAATTTAGTTAATAAAATTTATTTTGTTTACTTAGATGTTACATTAGAAATAGATATAAATGTTGTTTCATGATGAAAAGCACAGAAATATTTCCTATTTCTAATGAACAAATTTACACAGATGTCAGCCAGCTCAATGCATTTAAAATATCTTTTATGTCTTCCTGACAAAAATTATGTATATCATGATAACATAAAGATATTCTTTGTAAATAATTTTACTAAAATATTTTAATGGAGATTTGTACAGGACAGTCTTTCAACAAAGCCAGTGATGGTCATTTACAATGCAGTAAAAACTTCATTCTATATAATCGGTGGCATGTATAAAATATTTAATATATTGTTTCAAGTTCATTTGTTCTATCAATGGTAACAAATCTCACTTTCTGATAGATTGCAAAAATGCATTTAGTTGGAACAGCTCTTAACATTTTTATACTAATTACAATGTGAACATAGAAGTTAGACATTTTATTAACAGACGTAGCAGTAAAATGCCAATGGTATTGAATGCACAATTACAGACAGTGGCATAGCTAGAGTTGTCATCATGAGGAAATTATTGATGTTGTCATCCCTCTCTTCTAGGACTTAAAAATTTATATTATAGAACAGTATACAAGTGTATACAAGTATACAAGTGTTTTTGTTAACAATTAAAATGTTTATTGTATATATTGTTATAATTACACTATGCAATACAAAAATTGATGTTTTTACAGTAAGGGTTGATTTTGAATATCAAATTCAGGCTTACACATCTTTAGCATATTGAATCAAGTTTTCTTACATATTAGAAAAGGCTATGGGTACTATGTATATTGTATGCTAAGGTGAGAAAATTTTTAATTTTATTCAGTGAGCAATTGGTATCCCTCACTTCCTAGTGACACCAGTCAATCAGATGGTGTAATTTGCTTCTTTAAACATGTTTTCATTAATCTATGTTGGTTTTTAATATTATTTCCAGCATCATGAGTTTACATAAGTGATTGAACAGTTCAAATATATTGAGTAATAATTTTAGATGTTATATAACAATAAAAAACAAGTAAAAAACTACCAGATTTGTAAAGCAAGCTGACTTTGCAAATTTTTGCATGGAGATTGGGAATCAGTCCAAAAATGGGTCACTCCATCAAATCTGTCATACTGTGTTCAAGCGCTTAGAAGAAAAGAAAATATCCATGATATTTGCCATTCCCATTATATGGAGAGAATTTAACAATCATAACAATCATGGCTATTTTTACTTGACTAATGTAGAAGGCCACAATTCAAAAAGTAATAAAATCATTGTTTAATCAAATTAGACTCTAACCACATTTTGTAATATTATCTGTGTCTTTCCCATCTTCAGATTTGAATGAAGAAGGATCAGATGCAGATTCCATTAATGAAATTGATCAGATGAGAATTGTAACGTGATGATTTCACCTCAAAGCTATTCAATCTCGAGGGAACACTGGCTTGAATTTGTCAAAAGTAGCCACTACTTCTCCCAATATTTGAAACAAAAAAAACAAAAAAAAATTACTTCGAAGCATTATATTTTCATGGTACAAAAATAGAGAAAAAGACCTTCCTTTCCTTTTCAGCAAAAAGGGTCATTGGTTTTATGAAATACAATAGGAGTAAATGATGTTAATAATTATTGAATCCGTAGAAAAATTACAAATGTTTGGTATCTTACATAGTACTTTGAATGCTTTGTGTACAAGTTATTTACACATTGTGTAATTTTGTTACAAAAAATTGCATGAAAATTTTCATTTTGGAATTTAAATATTTGGTAATCATGGATTATTTTCCAAACTTTACATTAAAAATACATTGAAATAACCTAACTATAAAAAATTATTTTAAAAAATTGAAATGCAGTGCAATGTAATTATGTGACAATAGGGAATGTCAGTGACTGTCAACTTGAAAAGCAATACAATTTATAATAAAAATTTATTTCAATTAGAGTTGCTCACTTTACTAAGATTAAACTTTAAATAATTTGCAAAAATGTTAATTAAATTAAATTATAAAGTTAATGTTAGTTATTTATGTGTTTTTCAATTAAAACATTCAAATTGTAAAGTTTTAATTAAAATGTTCAATTGTCACGTCCTTGTCTCACTCTTGGTTGACTCTTCCCCCATAGTTATGCCACTATTCATGGAAACAATTTGTAAGTATGTATATAAATGTAATCTGGAGCATGAGTCAAGAAAAGAAGAAACATACGGACTAAATTATCAGAATGGCTAATGGACAATAAAATTCTGTATTTGTTAATATTGGTGTAAAAAGTTAATGTGAACTTAATTTATAATTTGATGTTATGTGTGTAAATGTTGTATATTTAATTACTGTTTAATATAAGGCAATTTATTTTATTATTTTTTAAACATTTTAAATGGTTTGGCTTGCTCAAAATCAGGTTTCTTCTTTGGAGATAACTGATGTGTGCATTTGTCCAAAGATATACATGCCTTATTTCACAATAAGTGTTGAAAGTATTTATATTTTTGAAATCTCCACTTGTTTACTCCTTGACAGTTGAGACCCTTTGTGGCGGGTGGTTCATGTTACCAAAACAACATGTGTAAGTAAGATGTGTAATGAAAGATAAAATGTCAAATGATATATTCATGTTATGCCACACTAACATAAGAGAATGGTATCTGTCAAAACACAGTATTGTCTTTATTGTATTATTAAAGATACAAATACAAAGTGAGTTTATAATAAAAAAAAATCTCATGTTAATTATCTCTTCCTTCCCTGAAGACCTAATACTTTCTATTCTCTGCTATATTTTTTTAACGTCTTGTATACATATGCATATTAAGTGTAGTATGTTTCATTAGTATTCGTAGATTACATTGTGAAAAAGAAATATTGTATCGTCTTCTCTTTTATTACTGTAATAGAATGATTTCTTCTTGCATATTGAAGAAAACCTATTTATAATACTATGTATTTCAAAAAAGAAAGCATTAGGTAAACACCAATCAACAAGTGTGAAAAAGTACTTCATTTCTCAATCTGAACTGTTGACTTCTCATAAAGCAGTAGTCTTATGTGACAAAGGCTAAATTCCTTAAATCTCAGCAACAATGCATACTACCCTGATAATACATCAGTCAAGAATAGATTACAGGTATGTATACTTCCATACCTCTCCATGGTAGATTTCCCCACGCTCTTGAAAGTGTCGACTACAACGCTTCAGTGCGGTGGCTCAGAGATGAGACTGTATATGGAGAGACTGAGGCAAGCAATTTAGGACCAAGTTATTTCAATTAATAACTACAAAAGATGTATTGAAAAGCAAGATGTTAATGCATGCTATCGATCATCAGAGACAATTGATTATCTTATTACAGGGTGCACAAACCTTGCCAACACAGAGTATCTACATTGGCCCAACGTGACTGCAAATATTGTACCACAAACACTGGCAATGAAACATGGTCTACTGATAGAAGAAGAAAGCATCCCATACAAAGCCAAATCCATCATAGAAAGTAATCAATTCAAAACTTAATATGACCTTCTACAATATACTGATGAACAGATTTTGGCAAATAAACCTGACATTCTATTACATAACATACAGGAAAATAAAGCATTCATCATCGATGTTACACACCCTACAGATCACAACATCAATAAAGCAGAAACGGAAAAATTCTCAAAATACATAGAATATAAAGAAATATACAAATGAGTCTGTTGAGATTACACCAATTGTATTAATAGCAACAGGCCTTGTTAACAAAAATATTAAGTATTATTTGGAAAAATTAGATCTTCCTCTTCACAAAATTATTCCAAAATCTCAAGTCAGTCATTCTTGAAACCTGCTGGATTGTTTGCAAAGTTCTAAATAAGTAAAGCTAGGAATGTTGTATGCCAAGAGGCCCCTCCAACC